TAGGAGGAGGAGGAGGAGGAAGGGCCACGAACCACGTGAGGGGTGCGCTAGAATAATAATTAAATCCCATGCTCTGCCTGCTCGAAAAAACGCATGCGCAATCAAAACACAATCGGCCCCCATGGCCCTGCCGCGCGTTCCTGACTCGGGAGCGGCTGAGCACATGAAAATCACATGGCCTGCCGCGCGTTCCATGGCACGAGCGCCCCCATTGCCCTGCCACGGTTTGCTGGCTCGGGAACGGCTGAGAAAGTGATGATCGCATGGCTCTGCCGCGCGCTCGTAACTTGAGCAAACTGAACTGGTGAGAACGCCACTGCCCTGCCACGCGCTCGCGATTGCGGACGATGGCGTAATGAACCACCATGGCCATGCTCAACTTTTTTGATGCTGTTGCTAATCAACATGGTACGATAATCACAAGGTGGTTCCGGCACCGAACCGAACCGGCCGAACCGAAGCAAGCCGAACCGAACCGGCGCGAACTGGTGTTTTTGTTTGCCAAATGCTGTGGTGTTCTTGGGCAGTTGTAAGAGTTAGCAGACTTAGCAGGTGGTTTCGGAAACTTATACGTTGCGCTGACTAGTAGTTGCAAGTACTTGCATGTTGACGTGCAGCCACTGCATTTTTTAGCTTCCGAATTGATGAATCTCGATGCGCGAGGCGCAAGGCGAGCGACACCATGCATTCGAATGCACAATTGTTTGCGTTGCTGGGCAAAAGAAAGTAGGTAGCAACTCGCGCGATGTCTCACCACTTGAACATGGGGGGCACTATCGTGATTGACCCGCCTCCATGGCGCCTGCACGCCTTGCAAGTCTTCGAACTTTTCCAGCCGACCACGCGGACGTCCCATCCATCGCAAATGTCCACCATGCATTTTTCGCAATTGCACGTGTGCATTGCGGACAGTTGCTTGCAAACAGCACGCCCGCATAGCTGGTGGTGGTTTGGAAACTTGACGAACTCCCCGTCATAGCAGTGATGATGTCGGTCGTGTGCACCAGCTGCAAGTCGTCGTCGGTGGAGACCACGGTCAGCACGCCGAGCCGATCATCGTAGCGAGGGGTGCCCCAGCTTGAAACCAGCGACACCATCGTTCCGTTTACAGCAGCGTGAAACCAAACCTCCCCGCAAACCTTGCCACCATTGGCAACGGACAGCAACGCGATGTCGCGGGACTGGCATGTCGACAACGTCGACACCCGAGCTTTCAGAGCCGTGGTCGCGCTGTTCCAGGGGAGGCGCTGGCCGAGCTTCTCCTCAAGGAAGGCGTGCATCTTCTTAGGTGCCGCCCCAGGGCGCGCCAAGTGCGGCGAGAAGTCGAACACGTTGGTGCCGTAAAAGTTTGTCAAATGCAGGCACGTGACCTCGGACAGCACGCTCCTCTCAGAAGCTTCCAGCTGGCGCATATCATTGCAGAACCGCTTGGACACTCTGTGCTCTCTCTCGCGCACAAGACACGACAAAAGGCATCCGAACATGATTGGGTGCCTTTGGGAATGGACAAGCCAGTGGGACTTCGGCGTCATGTATTCCTGTCACCGTGCTGCTTCACAGGCATCCAGAAACGCATTCGTCCTGTCCCTGAGAGCGCCAGCAGACGCACGGGATGGCGCTGCAACTTCGATGCGCCACACCAAATCACACAACCGAGCAAAAGCGGTGCACTCCGCGCGCGCGACCCCTGCAGGCCATATCACGGCCATCACATACGTATACATCAGCGGCAGCAAAGACAACGCCTCACTAGCCTGGCGCTTAAACGCCTTCGTCTTGCCATTGGCAGTCTCGCGGGCTTTCTGACAAAAAACTTAGCCACATTTCCAGCGCTCCCGCGCGCGATGGGCAGCGCCCACATGCCGATATACCCTCGAAACATGAGTGTACGTTGGACAACCCATGACGTTTACAACCTGCAAGAAAGAGGTGCGTCGAAATGTTGCAAACACACCGAATAAAGAATGCGTGCGTCCAATCGCGACAATACTGGTCAACCGGTAAAATCCCCCCCCTGCCCCTCCCCCTTTGGAAAGGGAGGGCGGGGTAGCTTTCAAAGCGCGAGAGGGGGGGAGGGGGGTGGTAGCTTCCGAGGGGCGGAAAAAAGGGAGAAGGGGGGGGGGACTTCCAGCAGGGGAGGTTCATCAAGGGGGTTGGTGTAGCTAAGCGCCCTCCCTTTCGGACAAGGAGGAGGGAGGCAGCGTCCGGAGTGAGAAGGGAGGGCGGGGGGGTAGCTTCCTACGGGGGGAAAAAGAAAAGGGGGAGCTGGGGTGAGCTTCTGGCAGGGCAGCTCCAAGGGGGGGTAGCTAATGTGGACCCCCTCCCACCTTGGGAGTGCGCCACGGGCGCGCTCTCTCATAACTCCCTTCCTCCCACACGCTTGTCAGGTCAAGAGGCTGATCTACCTAGGTGGTGCGATAATGGAGACACAGCTAGCCACGGGCCAAACTGAAGGCGAGAAGATTGCAACACCGAACTGGCACCCCACGTCCCAAACATCCTTTACGCGTATCCCTTTGGATGCAGCTGCCCAGGCCCATTACAGTGCGACCAGGTTATCAGAAGGATGCGCGGTAGGCAGGCGCCTTGGAAGCCTAAGTTGAAGCCTGTTGTTCGAACATGGCCAGCCATAATGACTAAGCATGGGACGAATATGCAAGAATGATAGGATACCCTCGGTCAGATACTCATCTGTATGATCCTGTCTCACTGTGCCCAAACCTCCGACGCCCTGTATTTTCATGACGGGGTCTTCAAGCATTCTCGACACCCCTCTCGCCTGGATATCGCGCCTTGTTTTTATTGGCTTGCGGGTCCCTGGTCCGGAAGCGGGCCTCCAGAGGCCCAAACTTACACGCCATCCAGATTCTCTTCAGGACAACAGAAGCTTGGGTTGTAACCCCGACAACGTGAATACGCCAAGCTCCAATACACTCGAACCCAACAAGACGGTTGCTTCGCTGCGGGTCTTGGTTGGCAGGCCCAGGGAGCCACGAAAACGGTCACTTAAATGCCGGGGTCTCGATTGACGTATCACGATCGTCATAAAAAAAAACGCAGGTCCAAGAATCGCCACACGACGGCTATCGGATAGCCCAGGACGGCCCACATACGATCCATGAGAGCTCCTCAAACTCAAGACGAGAAGTGACACGTGTGACGGGTTTCTGGGCGGTAATCGAAAATTCGCCATCCAAAGTCCTTCGATGGCACGGTGCAACAACATCATATTCGATCCAATTACTGGTGCGAACGCGGCGCAATAACGGCCAGATGCATATGTCACGGAATACCTCGTGGGGGCGGTGCATAACATTAATGGAATTATTCAGCGCAGTGACGACAAGGAGCAGGATGATGTTAGCCAGCGTGGACTCTAAACAGTGAGTTATTGCATTGTGGAGCTGGATGCTACGTGGTGTAAGCTATGTGGTGGAAGCTACGTGGTATGAGCTATGTGGCATGAGCTATGGAGATGGGAGCTATGCTGCGTTCCTGGTGTAAGTTCTGTCGTGTAAGCCTTGCGGTGTGACCTAGAGGTGAAAGCTATGCAATGCAAGCTGTGTGGTGCCAGCTATGTAGTGTAAACTATGCTGCGGCAGCTATGTGGTGCAAGCTCTCCGGTGCAAGCTATGTGGTGTAAGCGATGTGGTGCAAGCGTTTTGGTGTAAGCCATGCAGCGCAAGCTATGTGACGTACGCTATGTGTCGCAAGCTCAGCACACGGAGCGCACACGAAGCGCCTAAGAGGCGGCAACGTGGCGAGTCCGTGAAGCACAAGGCCCGCCGCACGGGGCGCCCACGAGCTCCCACGAGGCGACACGGGCGGCACAGTGGCGAATCCTCGGGGAAGCACCTTCGCCCACGAAGCGCCCATGGCGAATTGTCGGGAAACTCACCCAGCAACATGGCGAAAACTGGGGAAAGCCATCCAAGTTCCCGAAGAACTATGTTGGCGAGTGTGGATCCCCGAACAGTGCAATATTGCTGTGGAGGTGCAGGCTGTGTGGTCAAAGCTAGGAGGTTGGACCTATGTTGTGTATCATGTGTCGTGTGCACGACGGAACGGTAAGCTATGCGGTAACAACCATGTCGTGGACGCTATGCCGTGCACGGAAGGCGGTGTAAGCTATGTGGTGCAGGATATGGTATGAATGTCCTCTCGTGCAAGGTAATGGTAAGCTGGAAGTGAAAACTATAGGGTGTAAACTATGCGGTATAAACTATGCTTTGTAACCTGTGCGGTGTACGCTATGTAGTGTGCGCTATGTAGCGGAAACTATGTCGTGCAAGCCCAGGACGCAACGCGCCCAGAAGGCGGCACGGGCGGCGACGTGGCGCAACCTGAGGAAACCCACTTAGCGCACTGGGCGCCCACGAAGCACCAACGAGGCGGCACGGGCGGCGACGTGGCGAATCCTAGGGAAACCCGCCCAGCGCACCCACGAAGCGTCACGGGCGGCAACGTGGCGGAACGTCTGGAAACCCACCCAACGCACGGGGCGCCTACGCGGCGCCCACGAGGCGTCACGGGCGGCACCGTGGTGCAACCTCGGGGAACCCACCCAGCGTACGGGGGTGATCCCACGAGGCAGCACGGGCGTCAACGCGGCGAACAACCAGCAAACCCATCCACCTTATTCAGCAAACGAAATATGAACACCGAAGTGCAAGCATTTGTGAGGGAAAAGTGAGACCCCCCCCACGTGCACGTGCTGTTCGGGGAAGGGAGAGGCAGGAGAGAAAACTGGGCATGATGAATGAATGAACACATATAGATATGATGATGTGCCACCTCAATCCGCATGCTAATGGTGAGAGAAACATCCCACAACTTCGTATGGAAAACTCTGCGACATGGTTGGGGCAATGCTGCGAACATCTCTGTGGGTTCGCGATCCAACAATGTCGCCACAAAGGAGGCGTCGTCACGGACAAGGTCGGTTTGCTACGGGTCGCTTCGGCCGCCCCTTATCCCGCCCCCCTGCTCAACCCGTGGGCCTGGACCGCCGCCAAGTCCAGGATGGGCCTGGCGCCGTTGGGCGCTAGGACGACGCGGGCCTGCAGTGGGAGAAAGAATGCGTCAGGTCTGGGTCGTGAAGACGGTTGACGGTGGTGTCAACCTTGGGCGATGGCGATCTGCCCCTCGATTGTTGAGACCCGAATGCCGAAATGTTTGAACGTGCGCTGCCTCCTTGAACGTGGCTCTAGCAACCTCCAGGCCCTGGACCCAGGCGGAATATTACCTGGGCCTCCTCTTCATCTGCCCCGCTTTTCCCAACCAGCCTGTGTTGCTGGGTCCTCGTTTTGTAGAGACGGTCCCCGCGCTTCCTCCTCCTCCCCCTCCTCCTCCTCCGCCCCCCTCCCCTCCTCTCATCATCATCATCATCATCATCATCATCATCATCATTCATCATCATCATCATCATCATCATCATCATCATCATCATCATCATCATCATCATCATCATCATCATTATCATCATCATCATCGTCATCATCATCATCATCACCATCATCATCAGCATCATCGTCATCACCGCCGTCACCATCAACATCATCATCAACATCAGCATCATCACCCCCCACTGCAGCGTTTCGTGGCCCCATAGGGAGCGCCACCGAATGGCCCCGTGACGCATTCCGCATGCGTCTCCCCCACCCAATACAGCGCTTCGTGGCCCCATAGGGGCTCCGACGGAGGCCCCCGTGGCGCAGTCCGCATCCGTCCCCCTCACCCAGTACATCGCTTCGTGGCCCCATATGGAGCCCCACCGAAGGTCCCCGTGGCGCAGTCCGCATGCGTCTCCCTCACCCAGTATACTGTTTCGTGGCCCCATAGGGGCTCCACCGAAGGTCCCCCTGGCGCAGTCCGCATGCGTCTCCCTCACCCAATACATCGCTTCGTGGCCCCATAGGGAGCGCCACCGAATGGCCCCGTGACGCATTCCGCATGCGCCCCATAGGGGCTGGTCCCCCCCGTGCACGCATCGTGGCCCCATAGGGAGCGCCACCGAATGGCCCCGTGACGCATTCCGCATGCGCCCCCCCCCCACCCAGTACAGCGTTTCGTGGCCCCATAGGGTCCCCGTGGCGCAGCCCGCATGCGTCTCCCTCACCCAATACAGCGCTTCGTGGCCCCATATGGAGCCCCACCGAAGGTCACCGTGGCGCAGTCCGCCTGCGTCTCCCTCACCCAGTACATCGTTTCGTGGCCCCATGGGGAGCTCCACCGAAGGTCCCCGTGGCGCACTTCGCATGCGTCTCCCTCACCCAGTACAGCGCTTCGTGGCCCCATAGGGAGCTCCACCGAATGGCCCCGTGGCGCAGTCCGCATGCGTCTCCCTCACCCAGTACATCGCTTCGTGGCCCCATAAAAAAGGGTTCCGACGGAGGTCCCCGTGGCGCAGTCCGCATGCGTCCCCCTCACCCAGTACATCGCTTCGTGGCCCCATATGGAGCCCCAACGAAGGTCCCCCGCAATCCGCATGCGCGCAGCCCCATACACCGAAGGTCCCCGTGGCGCAGTCCGCACGCGTCTCCCTCACCCAATACATTGCTTCGTGGCCCCATAGGGAGCGTCACCGAAGGTCCCCGTGGCGCAGTCCGCACACGCCCCTTCCCCCCCGCCCAGTGCAGCGCTTCGTGGCCCCATGTGGAGCCCCACGGAAGGTCCCCGTGGCGCAGTCCGCATGCGTCTCCCTCACTAAGTACAGACCAAGTACAGCGCTTCGTGGCCCCATAGGGAGCGCTACCGAAGGTCCCCGCGGCGCAGTCCGCATGCGCCCCCCTCACCCAATGCAGCGCTTCGTGGCCCCATAGGGAGCGCCACCGAAGGTCCCCGTGGCGCAGTCCGCACGCGCCTCCCCCACCCGATACGCCTCCGTCGGAGGCCGTCGGAATCCCACCAGCCCTCTGGGCGGGCGTCGGTGGTTTAACGCGTTTCCTCTTCCACCCCTCCCTCTTCCCCTTCGGGGAAGGGTTTACCCCTCCCCCTACCCCCTCCCCACTGACCTGGACAGGAGGGGCGGGGAGCGGTCAGAGCGTCCAAAACGGCCTCGGCGAGAACGCCAAACACATTGATGTTATTATGGTTTTGGCCCCATTTTGGCCTTCTCAGGGGGCAACGCTAATTAAGGCTCCCCTCTTCTTTGATCGATTTCCTCCACGATGGCCGCAAGAGGCCCCCAGGATGCCCCAAGAGGCCGCAGGACGGCCCCAATATGGCCCCAAGAGGCACCCCAAGAGGCCCCCAGGAGGTCCCCAAGAGACCCCCAAGAGGCCCCGAGATGGCCCCAAGAGGCCCCAAGAGGCCCCCAGGAGGCCCCAAAGAGGATCCCGAACGGCCCACAGAGGCCCCCCCGAGGCACCCAAGACGCCGAAAAGCCCCTCAGGACGACCCTCTACTCGCCTGGGCGTCGTTTCTGGACGGGCTGGTGGGGATACGCGAAGCGTCTAGAATTCCGCGCCTCGCTCGCCCGTCGTCGCTCTGCCCAACGGCAAGAGCCTTGCCCGCTATCAGCCAACCAATCAGCTCTCTTTGCTCCGCGCAGCGGACGACCTGCGCGCGTCGCTGGGACCCCTCCGGGGCGACCTGCGCGCGTCGCGGGGACTCCGCGCTGCGCTGCGCCCGCAGCCTTGGACTTTTGAGTGCGCGGGCAAAGAGGAAGCAAGAGAAAGGGAGGAAGCGGGCGCGATCCTCGCGGGGGTCGCGCCGACACTGGTGTCGCGGCGCGCGGGCGATGCCGTCGTGGAGTCCCGGGGGAGCTCCTTGCGGCGGCCACGCCCAGCGTCACGAGTACTCATAGGCAGTCGTTATCAAGCTATTGACATTCATATACAATTACACCATGTTTTGTCATACTCGCATTCATGCACGTAGACTCGGTCGCGCGCAGATTCATTCACAGTCAGACGCACTCGCGCTCAGATTCACCCGCGCTCACTCTCCCTACGTACTCAGATCAATCATTATCGTTCGCGTTGTGTACCACGCCACTCATTTCGGCACACCCCTAGCGCGGTTCGTTGCCTCATAGGGATCACCACCGAAAAAGTGAATCACAATTGCGGTACTCACACCTGCATATGGTTGGGTCCTTCGTCAGGCTAATTCCCCTCGTCCTCTCCACAAGCCCTACATCGCCCAAGGCACGGCTGCGCACAAAAGGACAGTCTATGAGCAAATGTCTGGGCGACTGCGTCTGTGGCGATGGTTGCTTTCCTGCTCTACATCCCTCCCTTCTCCCATCTCCCTCTCCCAAGCCCTCCAATCCGTTCCCTGGTGCCTGGTGCATGCGCCCCTTCCCCTCCCATCGCCTCTCCAGCCGCCGCCGCCGCCCATCCCCCTGCCCTTCATCCAACACCACCTCGCATCCGTGCCAAACTGCTGGCACATCCACATCGGACTTGCAACATCAAATACTGCATGCCAGCGGCCTGCAAGTCCGCCGCCGCCTTCAAGGTGGCCGCGTGCGCCACCGTGTTCCTGGGAGGGTGATGCCGCATGTGTCCAACCTCGGCACATGAAGAGGTCGACTTCTATGGGCCATAGGGAGGGCGCGCCGCCCAAAAAAAGGGACACCCCTGCAGATTGATGCTGCATCGGGGGCTGGAGCTGCACGTGCGGTGCGGTGCGGTGCCCTCCGGGTGCAGCGCCCCTCTGCGAGGTCGGAGCACATGCGACCAATCTTGGCATACGAACAGGGCGACTCCCAAACCCGCCGCCAGCTGCTGGCGGCGGGTTTGGGAGTCGCCAGCACCCACCCTCGGAGGAAGGGGGAGCAGGGCGGGGGCAGGGGCGGCGAGTCGTGTCTTGCCCAGTGCAACAACCAACCAACGAAACATCGATTGTGCGACACTCACTGAACGGAATGTTGAAACATCGGAAATGGAAGGCGAGGGGGATCTTCGTGGGCGCGACCATTTAGCATGGGCATATCATCATAGGCGTGTAGGTTGGCACAAGTTGGTACGTAGCACCCCGCAGTTGCGGATAAGAGTGAGGGGTTGCTGGGACGTCGGCAGTCTGCGAGGCTCTGAAGAAACCCGCCGCAGGCGCAGAGCTTTCAAGCTATACAACAAGCCCGTCACAAACTCCAATTTCCTGGTAAAAACAATGTGGGTGGGTCGCGGGTTGGGTCGCAAATGGGTTGCGGGTGGGTCGACGGTAGGTCGCGGGTGGGTCGCGGGCCTGGTCGCGGGAGGGTCGCGGGTGGGTAACGGTTGGGTCGCGGGTGGGTCGAAGGTGGGTCGAGAGCGGGTCGCGGGGTGGGTCGCGGGTGGGTCGCGGGTGGGTCACGGGGGGGTCGCGGGTGGGTCGCGGGGGGTTCGTCGCGGGTGGGTCGCGGGCCGGGCCGCGGGGGGGGACGACGCAACGAATCCTCGTATACGAAAGTCGCATTTTGTATAGTGAATGGGTCGCGGGGTGGGTCGCGTGTTGGTCGTGGGGTGGTTCGCGGGTGGGTCGCGGGGTGGGTCGCGGGGGTGAGTCTCGGGGTGGGTCGCGGGTAGGTCGCGGGTGGGTCGCGGGTGGGTCGCGGGTGGGTCGCGGGTAAGGTCGCGGGGTGGGTCGCGGGGTGGGTCGCGGGGTGGGTCGCGGGGTGGGTCGCGGGGTGGGTCGCAGGGTGGGTCGCGGGGTGGGTCGCGGGGCGGGTCGCGGGTGGGTCGGGGGGGGGACGACGACAACAAACAAACAAACAATAACGAAACAACGCAACAAACAGAACCTTCACCACGGATCCCCTCTGCAGCTACGCACCCATGGACAATGAATGACCGCTCGGCCCACTCACTCTGATGAGCAAGTGGTTGCGGGCGCTGGCCGACACATCCAAATATGATATAACGAACTCGGGCCAACGTTCGCGTTTGGAAACGCGCGTTTCACCGCAACGCCCCGTTGCACATACACAAACACAAGCACACACACACTGCTTGCGTGACATAGCACGCGCGGGTTCCTTAAACCGACCGGCGGGCATGCTGTTTGTTGGCGTTTCGTCCTCCACCCGCCCTTCAGGGTAGGCCGCCTGCTCCCTTCTCAAACAGCGCTCGCTCGTACAAGTTGAACAGCTGGCTCTGTTTGAAGGCCCCTGTTGCTGAGCGTCCTTTCAACTTCCTTCTCCTTCCCCTTTTCCTCCTTTTCTGACGCTAGGCAATCCTTAGATGAAAACCTGTGGCGTTCGTGACAATGAATAAAACTTTTTGCGCATGGCACGGTTCACAATGTACCTGGCGGGGCGCAACGGGGCAAAAAAAAAAAACAACTAAAAACTGAAAAATAAAGAAATACGAGATTCGTGAATGGAGTCGGCGCCCGCCAGGTACTAGAGGCCGACACGCACCTGAGCATGCAAGCCCCACCACCCTTCATCCGTAAGAGAAATCCTCTGCATTCAATAGTAAGCGCTGCTTCAGTAGGCATGGTGCAAACAGAAGTATATAAGTGCAGTTCTGGGGCTGCTACCGATGGCGGCATCATGTGCTGCGCGCGCTGTAACTGAAACTGGAATGGGGCGGAAAGCTGCCCGAGTACTGATATGCTACACAGCACGCTGCTAGCACGCAGCATATGATAACTACGCTGCACTGACACTCATGACTGCGGGGCGAACACCACGGGCGGTAAGACAGTTCGGCGCGCGAACTCAACTCTGCCATGCCACCTCGTTTGCACCATTCCGCGGAAGGCGCGGGCGTCCGTCTGGCCGGCCAGACATCCCCCTGCGTCGCTGCTGGGCGGGAGCAGCGAGGCCCGGCGATGGATGATCCACTCCCTGTCCTGGTAACTGCTCAGCTTGGCCGCCCAGCTGCGCCCATTCCTGGGCCTGTCTAGATGGCCCTGCCGATCAAGAGCCCTCCAGAACCATCGCCGGGACCAGACGCCCCGCTCGTTGCACTCGGCGGGGGCGGCGCGGCCACGCCTCCTGAAGTAGCGCGCCGGCTCTTCGCCGGGCCGGGGCGGGGCCCGCGCGATGGCGGCAACCATCCGGCGTTGAAGGATATCCACCTCATCAGCTATGCGACGCTGCGGAGGCCAACGCGACGACCGGAAATCCACATGAGGCAAGACTGCCCGGTCCAGGAGGCGAAGGCGCTGATGCATCGCAAGCCCGCGCGCAGCTTTTGAACCCGGGTTGGCCCAGAAACCTCGCCACATGGCAGCGCGAGTGTTCTGCGAGCGTGCCCGGGTGACCCAGTGTCCTGCAGCGCGTGGCCCAGGGCGGCGAACTCGTGGACCCGCGGCCACTTCTCGGGCAACTCCTCCGGGCCTGTCCCAGCAGCAGCCGCGCAAGACCGGGGGGGGGGGGCTTAATGCGGAGCAAGTTCCGTTCCAGCTGCGCATCGAAATCATCGAGGATGCTGATCGCCCCGCGCGGGCTCCCAGAAGCACTGAACAGGTTGTCCACGTAGGAACAGACGCACAGCGCGTGGCCATCTGCCTGCAAGCCCCTTGCGCGCCAAACCAGACGCCGCTCGGCCATCGTGGGCTCGACCGGAACGCGCTCAAACAATCCTGCCACTCGGCCCCCGGTTAGGCCTCCCTCGCACCGACCAGTCACGATAGCTTCCGCTGCCCCGGCGCACAGCGCCACCTTGGGCAGCCATCTCCACGGGCGCGCCGCGAGCCCCGAGCCAACGGGCTATGCGGAGGGACGGGAGCGAGTCATAGTACCTCTCGATGTCGGCCTGGGCGATCGCGGACCGGCCGAAGTTGTCGATGCCTTTCTCGATCACGGACTGCAGACCGCGGGCAATGTCCAGACATTGGGTGCGCGGGCGAGCCCCGACAAAGCACTCGGGCACCTCCGGCAGCGCCACGTCGACCCAGCCCTGGCAGGCCAGGAGCAAGACCGAGTCCATGACCTGCGTATGCTGCGTAGACGTCGGGTGCGAAACTGGACTCAAAGTGAGCGCCGCCGAAATCGTGATCCAGCACTCCTCTCGCTCGATCGCAGCTGATCCAAACTCCGCAAACGTGACGCATGTCACCCGCTGCTTTCGGGCATGCCGTGCAATGAGCTCCAAGACTGGATTGTACTCATCTGCGTAATAGATAAGGCGCTACAGGCGATCGGGCGACGACGGACGCACCCCGTGCCGCAACGCGATGAACGCCCTGAACGCGTCGCTCTCGGTGAAGGCCTGCTGCAAAAAACGAAAGGAGACATACGAATGTGATCTCGATCGCGTCGCCAGACGATCCTGCGAACGCGAGGCGCTTCCCTGGAGTGCCGCGCAGATTTGCCGCATGCAAAACTGCATCCTGGGGCCGCAGCAGCTCTCGCCGCGAGACGGGGCCCGCGGGGAGATTGCACGCCCTCGATCCGGCCGCGGGCGCGCTCAGGGCCGAGCCCGAAACATGGGCAGAGCGCGACGAAATCTATCAAGTCGATGCAACCTGGCTTTCTTCGCACCAGAATACGACCAATCGCGGCACCTCTTCATGAGCCAAAAACGCTATACGCGGAGGCCCTCTGGGCGCAGGTGGTCTAGAGCGTTACCTTTGCCAACCTCCTTCAATTCCCTGATCGGGAGGTTTACACCCCGCCCCCCCCATGCGTCGGGGCGGGCTCCTTCGCGAGGGGTTGGATCGCCCATGACGGCTCAAGATGGCTCCAATAAGGCATCAGAGAGCCCAGGATGGCTCCCGAGATGGCCCAACATACCTCAAGATAGCTCAATATAGCCACCGACGCGCATCCAAGAGGCTCAATATGGCCCAGGAGAGCCCCAAGAGACGCCCAAGAGGGCCCCGAGTGGGCCCCAAGAGCCCACGAGAACGCCTCAAAAGCGGCCCGAGATTTGCCCTGGGAACTCGAGCCCACATCTGTTTGAACAGTGGGGCCCAAGGCGAAGCGGTTTGGCCCGAACTTGATGGGGTCAAGTTAAAGCCTTTCTTGCGTTGCACTCCCGCGGCAAAACCCGAGCAGGGCACAGAAAAGGAGAGGGGGGGGGGTGAGGATGAGGAGGAGGAGCAAGGGGGAGGGAGGAGGGGGAGGAGATACGATTGATACACATGTATATATATACATACATAAGTAAATATGTGTATATGTTTATGTATATATATGTATGTTTGTATACATACATACATACATGTATCATATACCCAGCCGCCGTCAGCACGAGGACCAGCACCACCAGCAGCAGCCGCACCGCCTCCACAACCACCAGCTACAGCACTAGCAGCAGCGGCAGCACCAGCAGCGCACCAGCACCAGCAGCAGCACCATAAGCACGAACGCCAGCAACGCCAGAGCGGGCGGCCTGTCAGAAGCCCTCTTGGAGCTCGAGCTTGCGTGAGAACTCTCGCTCCTCGGCTGCTGCGTCTGGTATTCATGGTCTGCCGCCGAGGCGGCGCTCGTCTTATAGTGGCACTCCGACTTCATTTGTCGGCTTGCGCTTGCCGGCCGCCTGCCCCCCGTCAGCTCTGGCACGAAGGGCCCAGGTCAGCTAAGTCGCACCAGCAGCACTGGCCCAGCA